AAAATGGTCTGAAACGTAGATGACATTTTCAGAAAATTTACACGTCTAAAATAGATGGCAGCCGAAGTTAAAAGGCTCATTTATTTCTTTTTTATTTTTTTCTTTACTTTGGTCATATATTGTTGAACAACGGATATACTTGGAAATGATTTCAATATTATGCCTATCTGAATAACATGAAAGACTCTCATTTAGATTATTTTATAAGTATATATAAAATAATAAATTCGCAAACAATGACTAAATGAATTAATTGATGAACACTAGCCATTTTATACACAATAAGATATTCCGCTGAATAACGTTTCTTCTCACTTAATTCTAAATCCATTAATTTCCAAAATATTCGCAAACAAATTTCCTCTTAATCATAATTTTTTTTACTCCTCTTCTTTCACCGCACGAGAAATGAATAAAATACAGAGCAATCTCTAATAAAATTTACCCTAATATTTAATAATAATGTAGCGTAGAGGTAGTTTAGAAATTTATACTAGAAAATGCAAGTGAAAAGAGCATAACGTTGAATAAAAATTGGACGCAAAAACGTTGGCTACAACAGGGTATCATTTATTAGAGATTTTTCTCCGTGTATTACATCTAGGACAGTGAACTCTTCCCCTTCCATTTTCTGGAAATACAGTAAAGATTGACTTTTCGTTTTTAATTTATTTTTCTTATTCCACTAGCGGAGCGTAAGAGAGTTCTCAACGTTCGATTTTGCCTGGTTCATAGCTCGCATTTTCAAGATGGACTCATATTTCTGTATCAGCCCATCGCATTTTCTTTCTCATTTCCTCGTCTTCTTGTTTTCTCCTCTCTTTCCCAGCCCTGAAATACAGACACCCAGTCCTTTTGCATGTTCATCATTAAAAAGTTCACCTGAAATAAAAGACACTTTTTCGTCTGAGGATGTACATTAGTTGTATGTAGCAACTTGCCTCTTCTTGAGGTTTTTCAAGTTGAAAGGCCATTGACCTTGATCGATAACCATTTGCGGAGAAGAAAAACGAGAAAATATGTGATAGAGTGGGGAGAAGGATAGAAATGAACGAAGGGACGGACTGACAGCGGAGAGGGTGGACGATTGCAGGTGTAGGGCAGAGGGGGGTATTGAACTCGAAGATTCTAAAGTAATGGAATAATAGTTCAATTGAAGAATGCTGTTCTAAGGTCTGAAAGGTATTCACTGCTGAGGGTTTATATTTCCTAGGTCTCTGGATCCGATTGGATTCTCAGCTTTCACCGTGCTATTAAAAATTCCAAACAATCTAATTGTTCCAATGCGCAATGAGCTTTGATATCCTGGGCTCCATAGCAAGAAAGCTTTTACATCAAAAACGGTTCTCGTTCAAAAAAATGCATTCATCGAAGTCTTCAACAGTAGAGCAGCTAGGGTGTAACATCTTGCATAAAAACTGAAATAGGCTTTTTCTTTTATTCGGGAAGCATGCGCACAGCTGACAAGCGTAAAATGATGGCGCCGC